AAGGGGTCCGTCAAGCTGGGGGAAACGGATCCCGAAGTCAGTAAAGAAATTAAATTCTGAACCATCCGAGAACAACGTAGACGAAATTTTAGCGAATTTTGTTGTGAATAAACCATACCAAAATGAATTAGGCAAAAGACAGAAAGGTAAATCGAAAACACCTTTTGTAAAGCCGATTCCGAAAGGAGCAGTTTATAAGTCGAAGGTTACTGGTCCTTTTGCTAAAATCGCCAAGGAAAGAGCGAAAAACATTTTGGATGGAAAAGATACAGCAGGATTCACTAATTCTCAACTTGTAAATGCAAGTGTTAGTCAGTCACTAAGAGTTAATGAAAACGTACCCCCAATGTTTACGAAAACTTTTAGAGGTGAAATTGGCACTGTTTATTCAGAAAATCACCTTGACTCATTTGCATTTCAAGAGGACCATCACTCAGCTGTTTCTAAAATCAAACCGAATACTAGAACAAAGACAAAGTTATTGAACTCGAATTTSATAGAGCTATYGTGTGGGACTAACTCACKTGTWGATGATGATAMGRAAGTACACACGTTAACTGATTCTAAAGTATGTTTTAACTTTAGSTTTAAAARAATGGTTTTGAACTTGTTTTTGTTCTTCTATTATTTCATAAGAACTTGTGTTATGGGATTACGTGATTTTCTAGCTTKGAGTAATTTCMTTACTAGAGCAGTTTATCACAYCATTTTACAAACAGCATGTCAACATATTGAAAAGAAAAGATTTGCTTTTCAAGCTGTGGACTCATCTAATAAGGAAGGTTTTGCAATCAACAAAGTAATTAGGAATAACGTTAACAAATTYAAYGAAATCTGTTCAKTAAGGGTTAAGAAAAGTTCTAATTCAGTTATTGGAACTACTATTTTTRGTACACTATRTTYRTATTTGATAAATACTGGTGCTAYSTTGTCTTCGATTACCRCAAGATTACTAGCACGYATAYSTAAGCTTAAGAAAATTTTCAGTGYACCTCRARGTTGCGTAATGGCATCACTTTGCCAGGCAGTTAACCAAAATACTGAACCGATTGATCAGAGTTTTATTCCAATTACTATTGATGAACAGACTTATCCTTTTAGATTTCCTAAAGATAAAGACATTTCTTATTTAGTACCTAGGATTGATTCTGTTCTTTCCGCTAGTGTCAGATTCGTTTTCGATCCAGGAATAGTAAGTCTTGTATGCTAGGACTCGTTTAGTAGACCTGTTGGAATTTGAGTGTTTGGAGAATATGATTTCTAAATTGTTACATAGGCAAGGCAGTAAAAACGGAAATGTATATGACTTTTTTTTTCGAGAAGAATTTTACGCCATAGATTTTCTAACAGCGTAAATGAATTGCTACAGTTTTATATGATCATACATTGGGAAATGATGATAACTATGCTAAAAGAATTTTATATATAAGAGGAAGAAAAATATTTTATCTGCGAGGAAGGCTTGTTACGTTACCTTCTGTTGCAGTATGTGCAGGTGCACACAAAGGATAACTCGCATTAAGTAGTGGTACCACACAAAGTTTGAAACATAAAATCTAAGTACATTGTCATGACAGCCCGCTGGCGGGTTACTCTCAGGATTTCAGAAAACGTATGATAAAATTATGTTAAGATATATTTAGCGGAATATGTATAGACACTGCGAAGTTTGGGTTRAAAATATGTACACAGAGTGCATGACCGCAAGCTCCAGTAATGTACTAGTCGAATCCGCGTTTCAGCGAGTAGCATGGGTACATTTGGCCCGTTTTACAGATTTAGGCAATCGGTATATACTAGTTTTCACCGACTACCTTACTAATTGGGTAGAAGCCTAAGGTTGCGATCCTTAGCATGGAGACACCGCTTATATTGTACGTTATTTCAGTAGATGAAATCGTTGTGCGGTTTGGATCTCCTTAAACGCTATTAAGAGGTCGTGGTTTTCATCCTCTCTAAATTAGTTAAAGAAGTTTTTAGACTTCTAGTTTGTAGGAAAATTTCATATTCCATCTATACCTGTCATGTAACAGGGCAGTTGGAAGAATGAATGTTGTTTTAGCTAGATCATTATCAATGTATATACAATTACTAGTCACTTTCGTTCAAAGTAAAACTGTTCAATTAATTTGGTTATATTGTTTGTAAAATTTTCTATGATCAAAAGTTTCGTGGAAAATAAATTAGCAAAACAGGAAAAATGTCATTGCGATTCTCAGATTTTACTGCAAAATATTCTTTGTCACAACTTGTTCATTTCAGTCAAAAATAACGAAAATTTCGTTTTACAGCAAAACTTTTAGCTGTTGGGTTTCGCATTTTCATAAAT